TGCACGCTTGCACAGATGTTGCATGACAGGTTTTTCCAAGAAGTTTGGCAGTGGGTCAGTGCCGTTACTTGGAACTTCAAGCGGAGAAACTTCCATGTATAGTTTTAACTTCAACTCAATAAAAAAGAAAAAACAACCTTAACCCTTTAACCCATGTATCATACAGGGCACCTGGAATTATTTGATAATTTTGTCTGTAAAATGGTCACAAATCATACTATAAGTGAATGTTTTTCGGTTCAGAATAACCTCAGCTTTCAATTATATCTCGAGGTGGCTGGGGAGAGGGAGGTCTGGGCTTCTCTACTTGGGCTGCTGCCCCCGCGACCCAGCCCCGGATGAATGGATGGATGGATGGATGGTCTTTAAGCAGTTCAGTCTTGAATAACCGAATTCTTTATCACTATTATTATTGCCTTTGTTGTTTCTGTTGCCGTTGCTGTTGTTGTGGTTAGTATTATTATTGTCTGATCATAAACTGTAGCAAACAGTTTTTTGTTTACTAAGAAACAAACTTGAGGGCAGATCTACTCCACAGTATGTTGTTGACTGAATAACAAATGCTAAAATCAGCGATTCTTGAACACACATACTGGAACAGGGTGCCAACACCTGATAAGTAAAGAACGGTCCACACAGAACCGCTCATCTTAGTTAAGGCGAATATTAATAGCAGTATTTCACATTTTTCTCTCAGAGTGTAAAGAAATGGGTAGAAGCACAAATATTATAATATTAACCTTAATATATAAATATTAATATAATAATATTAACATAAATATTAATATTATTTAGAAAGCTAATTGAAAATAATCAATGTCAGGTTCAATGGTCAAACCTGTCCAGTTTCCTGAAAATTTACAGGGGTACACTGCACACCGTGCAAAGAAGACAAAGCAGACATTCACTATTGTACCTCTCTCCTGACCTCCACCATACATCTTTTAATTCAATTGATACGTCAATCAATCAATCAATTTTCATATTAGGACACATCATGCCATCAGACCTGTTGTCATTAATTTTCAGTCCAGTTTTTATATTATTTATTATACTTCAGCCTTTTCTTGACCATCTTTCTACTAATACCATTTATTCTGAGGCTCCCATAAAAAGCAGATGAATCAACCAAACTTTTATTTTTATTTTTTATTTCGTGACTATCAGATCCTCCCGATCTTCTGTGGATAAATTTTAGGCATCTCACTTTTTTGTCCTCCACTTTTCCAGTTTACCTAGATATTTTAAAAGCACACTGCATGCCATGCAAAATTGATCCAAGTTTTCAGCTAATTTTAAGCTGAGCACTGCTATATAATTTTTGTAATTGAATACCCTGTTTAATCACATTTTCATTCACACTCAACACTAATACAATAATCTATTGTAAAACTACTTTTTGGGGGTATTAGGTTTTGATTTTGATCCAGTGCTATTGAACAATTGCATTATACATATATGCTACATGTATATGGTGTTATTTTTGTGCCACTATTCTGAGCGCACGTAAAAAAAAATTGCAGTAGCAAGTGTTGCATTTTGAGGAGAAATTTATTTTGAGCGAAGAAAAGCTAAATTTGAGTGAACAAACTTGGTGGGTAACAGGCATCTCCGAAAACGTTTAGAGCACTTATGCAAATATGTGATGTCTTGATGAATCGAGCAGGTATTTGAAGTTTACACAGCAACATTCTCACATGAAAATATCTTAAACGTTTATTTTGTGACCCAGAAAGAGTAATATTTCAAACTCTGTCACTCTGTGTTCCCCTGCCACTGCCTCGATTGAGTTTTGGACGAAATGGATTCTGGGATATTGCATTTCGTCACTTCGAGCTGATTGGAGACCAGAACAGCCAATCAGATTTTTTTGCATCCAAGTCTGTGATTGGCTGGTTTTGTGGCACAAATATAACGGTGTATAGAAAGAGTTGAGTTGCAAGCGAGCACAAAAGCAAAAACTGAGCGAGTGGGGCTGCTATTGTGTGTGTGTGTATGGATAATAGCAAACACTGAAATACATTTTTTCCACGCAGCAATGAAGTTCGTTCACTCAAATTTAGCTTTTCTTCGCTCAAAATAAATTTCTCCTCAAAATGCAATTTTTTTTACGTGCGCTCAGAATAGTGGCACAAAAATAACACCATACCATGTATGCTTTGGTTCTATAAAAACACCCATAATCACAGCTTGTGAGTGAGTTAGCTTTTTCTTTTCACTATGCTGAACCAAATAACAGTTTCAAGAAAGTCTTTCCCCCAACTCTTCTGCAGACGAAGAGCCAATGCAATGTTTCTGTTGTCAGCACTCACCTGTTCAACTAGTTTGTCAGTCTCTGTTTCTGAAGGAAAATGCTTCTTAAACCGTTCTGCCACTCTGTCTTTGAGATCCACCTTGGGAGCTTTAAGAGCCTCATTGTTGCCTTCACCAGAGGACGGCACAGCTGGAGCTGAAGACAGGTTCTCCAAGACATCACTCAGGAAATCAGCCAAGCCTCCTGAGCCAGCCACAACCAGCCAGGGGATAAAGTTTTTCAGAGAGAGATCCATTCTCTGACAGACATTACAAAAACAATCAAAAAGAAACATTTCCACAATTTAAATGCTAATTCACAAGATTTTTGTGATAATCAAAACATAAAGCAGAGACTGTACCTTCAGCGTGTCTGCTTCCCCTGATATCAGCATACAAAGGACAGGGATGTCAATGCTGCCACTTCCTTTAAAGAGATACAAATTTCACTTAACTTCAGCTCAATAAAAGTCTTATAAATCTTAATAAAATATTGTACTCATAGTATGGTACCATCTCTCACCCCATATGCCTGTGCGCTGCTGGGAAATGTATTCCTCCAATCTGGCTCTGAAATCTGTTTCTCCTCCTCTGCGGCCCACACTACCATCATCCACCAGCAGGAAGGCCTGGTAGTTGTTGTCCAGGTAGCAGGAGTCCCGAGAAATGTTGTGGACATAGTACTTTGCAGGAAAGCTTCCCTACAAAAGAAGAAAAAACTGTTATTACAGTGTTTCTTTGATTAAGATAATTGTCTACAGTGCAATGGAAGCCTGAAACCTTTGGATCTTTTTTGTGTGTTTTAATAGGAGATACAAATACAGCTTGGTCCCAAGATTACCAGTATAGTATAGATTTGCCTTACTTTGAGCACTCAATGATAAAATTCACATAATCTTACTAACCCAAAATGTTGATTCTGTTCATCTGGACGTAGCATTTTCAGCGGGAGAAACACTTCGTTGTAAATCCAGCTGACTTCTTCAGTCTCAGCTGACTGCAGGTTTTCCCAACATCATAAACAGCACATTTGCATAATGGCTGATACCAACACAACTGAATAAACATTGGGTCAGTTTCTTGATCATTAATATGCATATTGTCATTAGCACTGATCAATGATTGATCATTATTCAATGGCCATGAGTACCATCTAGAGAGAGTTGGGGAATGGCTGTAATCACAGCATTGGCCTGTAGGTTTAAATACACTGCAGAGTCTTGGCCTGGCGAGGTAGCTCTTCTGTGTTGTGCCATTCACTTTAACCAGAGGCTGTTTGGTTTCCCTGATGTATAAATCATGGCAATCCTGCTGACACTTAACAGCATCCACTTTATTACTCTGTGTCAGGACCCAACTCTTGGGGTGGATCAGTTTTTGGCGCATCATTTTTTGGGGTATTAAAGCTGCAGAGACACAGTGTTGGGAGAAAATGCGTTTCAACTCTTCCGATACTCCTGACACATACAGAATCACTAAGGGGTTTTGCTTAGGCGGCAGTTGTCCTTCTTCTCACCTGGATTGGCTGGAGCTTTCTTTAGGTCCCTTCCTAGTTTTGGGTAGGCTGACAGGGAATCACAAGAAAATCATATCAAGAAGGCCCTGAGTAAATGTGTTTATCCCAGCTGGACATTTGTCAAAGCTGGAAAGGCACCTAAAGAAAGTTCCAGCTGGTCCAACAGAGAAGAATGACAACTGCTGTTTAAGTGAAAACCCTTAGTGTGACAATTGAAATGCATTTTCTCTAAACACCGCATCTCCATGGCTTTTATACACGAAACACACTGCCAAAAATTGGTCCACCTCAACGATCGGGTCCCCCAACACAAACAGAGTAATATAGTGTACTGGAATTGTAGTTATGGGAATTGATCAATAGTTGTATTCAAGGAACTGACCTTGTAGACTACTGCTCTTCAGTGGTGCTAGTTTCAGTCATTATGCACGTGTACTGTTTATAAGGTTGGGAAAACCTGCAGTCATCTAAGACTGAAGAAGACAGTTGGCTGAGTGACGTAATGTTTCTCCCGCTGAAAGCCTTACTTCCAGATGAACAGAATCAACTTTTTGGGATTTACTTGCCTGGATAACTGAGCATGCATCAAGACAATGTCTTACTTATCTTAAATTTAATTTAATTACAAGCAATTAAAAAATCTATTAAAATGAGAAATGTAAATCAAATCTTTAAGTGAGCTTTTTGCAAAATAAAGGTGAACACATGTTTAAACGTGTAAATGTTTGTACTACCTGAGGGTTGACCAGCTGCTCTCGTTTTTTCACAAGGCCCCACGGAGCAATGCCCAACGCTACCACCTTGTTGAGAGAGACTGAAGATGCTGCAGCTGCATGATCTCTCACTGCCTGTCCGACACACCTGCCAACACCTTCACGCAGACCTGTAGTTAAGATCCATGCACCTGGGGGAAACAGGTAGATGGTAAATTTCCTGGTTCAACCTGTATACTAAGTAGCTTACTGTGCCATGCCACTAAATAATTCCGAAATGTTAAAAAGCTGTGTAAACTAACACCTGAATAATAATTAACAATAATTTGCAAATCTCATATCTCTATATGTGATACCATTAGCTAATACGTTGTCCATAACTGGGGTTATTTACATTTTGCACAACTTCATACCTATTATTTATTATTTATTTATTACTATCTGTTACATTTCTTTGAATAGGCTTAAAAATCAAACAAAAAATAATGTATTAAGCTGTGAAACTGTATCATATTATTTTTTATCATTTTCACTAAAAGACTGTCAGGGTCATGAGTCTGGTGACCCAGTGTTTACGTATTGTCCATTTAATTTTTTAATTTAATTCTTAGGTTTTGGTCCTTTGCCTTCCTTTGCCTTTAGTTTAACTTGTCTCCACATGTCATGTCACTCTTGTGGCCATGTTCCCAATGCCTCCCCAGTCACTGTGTTAAGTTTGGCTGGAGTCTGAGTTTCGGTCTGTGTGTTTATCTGTCAAAGAATTAAGAGCACTAGAAATACTAGAAAAACCAAAAAGATGCATAAAAAATGTTTTTATATGCAGCGTGTTTTAATGGCGAGTGTAAGTACAAAAGCAACATGCTTGCTTTCTCACTGCTACGCCCTGTCCTGGATGTTATCCAATAATCATGTTTACTTAGTGTGAGCCATGTAGCAACTTGCATATTTGTGTGAACAATTTTTTCATTGCTTCTTGTACTTGTTTTGAAAGAAGAGCAAGTGACAGGAGATCAGTATCACCATGTGCTACCTGCACTTGGTACAGTAGTCAAAGAGAAAATTGCCATTTCAGTACAAACATTAGGACCAGACAATATGCTTTTTTTTTAGAGCTTATAGTATACTCCATTGAGTAAACAATACTACTTCCATCCTGGTGTCTTGAGTGGGAAACTGCTTTATTTACGATCACAGCATCTCCAGAGTACTTAACAGCGATACCTGACATCCCAGGTGTGCTACAGGATGTATAATATCTTCTACAAAGATGACTGCAAGATGGGGTTTGGCCATCATTGATATGTGATTGCATTAAGATGACTTACATATCTCGATGCATGCTCAGTTATCCAGGTAAGGAAATGTTTCAACTATATTTTCATAGATGAAAAACGTATGTCCAGGTGAACAGAATCTGCTTTTTTTCCTTTTACAGCTTTATAAATCTAGAAACTAAACAAAGTTAAGGCAAGGCATTCTTTTATACATTTTTTATATGGTAAAGGGAACCATCTGGAAATGACAATAGCATCTGCTAACCAACAATCAAATATTTCAGCAAACATCTCACAGAAATTCCAAGCACACTGTAATCATTATAGATGAGGCACTGACAGAGTGACAGATGCATAAAGCTTTTACCTGTGCTTTGTGACGCTTTCACCAGTCCCTGTCTGAGAACCTCCCGTACCCAGGTCTTCACCTGTGTCCTGCTCTCTCCACCCACAACAGAAACAACCAGGTTTGGTCTAGGAAGACCCCATATTGACTGGGCTGTCAGTATGTTGTACACCACCGAAGGCTCAGTGCTCCATGACAGGCGCAGGAACTAAGATTAGACATTTGATGGATTAAAAGAAACAATTACATGTCAACAACACAAAGAGGCTTGGAAAGTAATGAATTGTGATCTAGTATCAAAGCTAAAATGATGCTTTGGTTGTTTCAACCTTTAAATTGTGATTAAAACTTTGAAAATGAAAATGACCCTTAACCCATTAGAGCCCAGACCAATTTTTACTGTCAGGAAAACTATGGGAGAGTCAGTGTTAAAGGTTTTACAGGAACTTTCCTCAATATGTTAAGGAGTGGCTTGTTCTTTGCTCTGGTACTGACTTTGTTTGTTTAGTAGCAGGTTGAAGGTCAGGAAAACTCAAAGTACTGACTACCAGAGCTCCAGGTTTATCTGGATCTTTATTTAACCCACCTTTACACCTTTACATGAATTTTCCTTTAAAAACATTTTCACATTTTCCAAAACTCTAAGGCTGTAGAGATAAAGCATTATGGGACAAAATGAAAGCACCCACATGGCTGTGCCTCTTGCTGGCTCCTGCAAACTGCACCTCTCCAAAGGCATCAGTTGGTTGTTCAGAGGAGTGCTGCACACTTTCCCAGTGCTTCAAAATTGCTGTGCTGAAATAATCTCCAACAGCCACAGAGGCATGGTCATCTCTCGCAGCCCCACACTGACAAAATTCACTACTACTGAGAGAGGTGGAGGGATACAAACATCACTATGAGAGTCAACTCAAATTACAAGCATGTCACTATCAAAAGGCAGAGGTCACAGTACCTGAAGGAATCTTCTACAAAGGTGCTGCACACTCTTTTTTTGATGGTTTTGGGGATCCAACTCTGAAAGGATTTTTAAAAAGTTGTTAAATAGTGATTGACTTATACGGATTTCTGAGCCTGGTTTAACAGTGAGCCTGTGTATGCACATATTCTGTAGTAGAATAATACAACCCACAAGTCAAACATTTTATTTTTTTAATTAAACTTTTAAATTGGCCTAGGTACTCATTGGTATTCATTTATAATCTGCTATTATGCAAGTGGAATGAAAGCTCGGTATGTGACCTCAGTACTGACATTTTTACAGTGTGTTGAGTGTTTGAAGCTCAGGTTTTTCGAAACACTGCAGTTCAAAACATTTACATCATGTTTGAGGTTCTGGTTGTATTTCAGCCAAGTGTTGACAGGTTGCTTACCTGCTGCTTCCAGGAATGTAAGCAAGTAATCCAAGGTGCCAGGATTTCCATTTGTATGAACCAGTGTCATTTGAGCTGAATCTTGTTATTATTAAATTATTGATTTTAATACTACAGCTTCTATTTATAACAAGGGGCACAAGAGCCATTTGTATATAACAAAACAATACCTGGTTTCTCATTATTATTTTTGTTGATTATGAAGCTTAAGGAGAAAACCAGCAGAAATTGTCAGCTCTTACTCCCATCTTTTTGGGAGAAAAAAAAAAGCACGCAATTTCATTTTCATTACACTTAGGGACTTAGAAATTAAACACCTTCTCCCTCTCCTTTATCTTTCCTGCTTGGCTTCTCATGTCTTGTCTAGTCTCTTCTATCTCAAACCCTCAAAGAGTCTCTCAGTCTCAGTGTTCTCTTAAACCTAAAGAAGAATTATGGATTTGATCAACTGGTCCTTTAATGCAATTGAGGAGAACCCAGGCTTCTCATCGAGAACCTGTGCTTTGTGACGCACCAAAGTCTTGAAAAGTTTGGTGGCATTTGAAATGAAGAACTCGATTTATACTGCAGAAGCTTGTCAGGGTCAACGAAAGGTTTGTAAGGATATCAAGATGCGAGTCTGGCTGTTTTTAGAAACTGAGGCAGAACTGGATTTAACCAAGACATCTGCAGACTGAATTGCACTTCTCATCGAGAAGCCTGGGTTCAAGAGAGGCCGACTGTCCTGGAGGGACGTTCCCTGCCGGTTACACAATCGATGTCTGGCGGAACTGGCGCGTCGTGTGCCTGACGGGACTGTCAATCAAGGACATCGAACACATCTACCTATTCAGAAATATGACAACAGGGTTCTTGCTCATTGGAGCTGGCTCGGCCCTGGCTTATCGAAGATTAAAGAAAGCAGGTACGGCTGTTCAAATCCCCACAAGGCTGGCCGCTATAATCGAAGCGACGGGGAGGGCCTTGAATACTCAGACGGTGGTCTTAGAGAAGCTCACGGCTCTTCAACGGGAAATTGAGAGACCTGGTGACAAGTGACGGACATTAGACAACTGTAAAATTGGATGCAGTTGTTCGTACTAATTCAAACATCCACCATCTTCATTTCATGCGGTTACCCCCACTGGTGCCAGCTGGAAGGCCCCAAGGCCGAGGTTAATGGAAATAACAAAATTCTCCTTGATAACTTGACTGTGTGTTTTTGGACTCTTTACCCTTATTCTTCAAGGCCACCTGTATCGACTGAAGGAATGCTGACTTTCACTTAACCGGGTGAAGGGATACCTTCTCTCAAGGGACGCACACGAATGCACACATATGCATGTACACTGACACAAACATACCGCCCCCCACCTCCAAACACCTCCGATGCATGTCTTTTATGTTGTGAGATGTGATGATTCATGTGCTATGTGCTGAATCATCACATCACATCAATCATAACGCTGTCGATGTTAACTCTCAGGAAGCTTATAATTCAACAAAAGTTAAATTCACTTCCAAACTTTGAATGGGGATGTGGTTTGTTTGTTTGTTAAGAAAAAAACTGCCTTAAATCTGGGTAGTTATAACAATAAATATAAACAATATTTTCACGCTATATAATGAATTCGAAATTGGTTTGTTGTGCATCACACTGAATTACTAAGCAACTAAAACAGTCTTAACTGAGGGAGAAAATGGTCTTTGCTGAAACACATCGTTCTTTACAGCTACTGATTGCTGTCTGTAACAATTTCTGCATTTTTCTCCCTTTATTTGTACAATTATTTCTCTAAAACATATGTCGATCAAAATTGTTGCTATACATGCTTCTGTGACAAGTGGCCATGTGGAGAATAGTGCAACCTGTGAGATTAGCAGGTGTGCGTGCAGAGAGGAGTATGAGATTGTTTTGAAACCTTATGCTTTAAAAGTTTCAGTGTTTCACAAACCTTTCCTTTGCCTATTACTAATGTAATCCCCACAGGCCTGCAAAACACCTCCGCAGCTAAATGAATGAATGGAATGCAGCCATCTTTAATGTTATCAGTAAACAAGATTACATGTTTAATTGCATACATGTAGTTATGATGCTATAGGTATACTAGTAGACATAAGTTGGGCTCTTATATTGTGCTTTCCATTTTTCTTTTGAGTAAACGTTATTGAATTGCTATAGAAACCTTTCAATGAACCGGTTTATACTTAGTAAAGCTTCCTTTAAGGTCCACCAGTTAGACAAGTTTCTGAGACGTTTGTTGGTGGCTCACCATCGCCATTACTTGGAACATTTAGTGGAAATTCCAAGTATAACTTTTTTAAACATTCAGCTTTTTTTTCTTTTGGTTAGTTGCTTTCTCTTTTGTTTTGTTTTGTTTTTGCAAACATGCCATGACATCACAACAGCAGTTGAAGGATTTTAGTGAAAGCGGACCTACCTGGCTCTTCTCTGTTTGGCAGATATTGTCTGTGTTGTCGCCTCTATCTCCTTCCTCTATTCTTACTCCTTCTTCTTTTGCTCCCGTGTCATTCATGTTTCTCCTTCAGTTGTTCTCAGTAAGAAATGTGTGCGGAAGGACTAAAACTGTTGATTTCTGACGAGTTTCCACCTTGTCTCCTACTGCTGAACTCCATTCCCTGCCACTGTCGTCACTCTGCATGCACACAAAATAGGTGCAGCCAGCACACATGTAAAGGTGTGGTTTCACAGAGGAAGACAGTTCCTCCAAACTTTGAAAACAAGAAATTCCAGTCGAAACCACTCAGACATGGAGTCTGAGCTGGTCTAGCGTTCATTGCAATACTTCCCCATCCTCTTACCTGGTCACTCCCATCTGATGTGGAAAAACTGAATACCTTTAATGACACATTTAGACACCACTGCAGCAGACAGACAGCTCAGCAGCTTTGAGCTAAGCTAAAAATACCACACATTTGCAACTCAGCCTGTTAGGTATGAGTCTCTGTGGTGTTAAATATTAATGCAGGCAAATATATTTGTTTGAAATGCAAATTTCAGTCAAAAAAATATTATTAGAATAAGAATTTTTATTCAGCTGAAATTTAGTGCAATGTGTGCATGGGTTCCATTTGCTTAATCGTAACTTTTAAAAGAAAATTTGCAGCTGCTTCATGTCCCTGGTTAAACGATTTCAAAGGTTCATTATGAAAGTAGAACATGTATCAGGTTTTAAACCTGCAGGATTCCATTATTTATTTTCCTTATAGACTATACATTAAAAACACACACTTGATTCGCTTATATATTTATTGTATATCACATTTAAATATTGACACATAAAATAAAAGGTTGAACTGATGTGGCTAAACATTTCATACAACTGCTTTCATCAACAATGTCGATATATTTAGTTGTCAGTAGCTGGAAACTATGTTGGGAATTCAGGAATACGGCAGATAGTAAACAGTGTCTTTAACACTATGACTAAATCAACTCAAACACACACACACACACACATGCAGTTTCATTGCCTAATGTTGGACTTAAAGTAACCTTTTGTGATGTTTTGATTCTTATGTTTGCTTGTTGCTCCAAACACACCCCGTCCATATTCCTACTACCACTCCTTTTTTTTTCTAATTGCAGTCTGGGTTTTCTGTGACGACACACTCCATCCTGCCTTCCTTTTGGCCTGTTGTGTGGCCGGTCTCATCTGTAGCTATTGCTTAGGTGTGCTTACTTTGGATTCATCAGTTTGAGCCTTTCTGAGTCATTTAAGAAATTACCCAAACCTAATGGACTGTGCCTTCTTCACACAGCATTTGATGTGCAATGACCAATAACTTTTTTAGAATTATATATTCCTGATCCAATACTGAGACATGTGGGAGGATGATCCTCTTGATAAAGACTTCATGCTTGAGAAGATAATGACAGGAGCAGACAAAGAAGGATGGGAGTGGTACTTAACAATCAGGCTGTAAATGGTAAAAGAACTGATTTCTTACATAACAGTTTTCTGCTGTCCCATAGCACCCAAAGCGCTTTATAGCACATGTCACATTCACCCATTAATTTACATTCATATTCCGATGGATAAATTGATGAGTAATTCGGGGTTAGTATCTTGCCCAAGGATATCTACCATGCAGACTGGGGGAGCCAAGGATCAAACCACCAACCTTCCAAACTACCTCCTGAGTTACAGCCACTAACGTTAGAACTTCTAGTAGATGTCACTATATTCCTACCTTTTAGAGAAAGTGTAGCTGTGTGGACCTGCGAGGACCCCATGCACCCCTCACACACACTCTTCACAATGCTGTTTTCTGGTAAGAGGTACTGCAGCATTCGGGCCCTCACTGCCAAACTATGAAACAGTCTCTTCCCCCAAACCTTCAGACTCCTGAACACTATGACTGGACTGACACATACAATGATTCGCTCACACACGTCACTACCTCAAGCACTTATCTGCACAGTCTCATACACACACACATGCACACCTTCATACAGCAAGTTATTTTTTGCACAACCCACTGTTATTGTTGTACTTTTCTGTTGCACTGTTTGTCTGCATCGTTCCATTCTGTCTGGCGTTGCACTGGTTTTTTTTGTTGTTGCTGTTTTTGAAATTCTTGCACACTTACACTTTATGTAGTCCTGTGTTGTTTGTTTGTTATAAACTATATATAGCAACATGGTCTTGGAAGAATTTTGTCAAGTTTCTCTGTGTACTGTACCACTGGTTGAAATGATAATAAAGCTACTTGACTTGACTTGACTCAAGCTTAGTCAAGTGAAAATAATCAGTATGTGAATACTGATAGACTGGTTCTTTAGCTACATGCCTAAACACGCCTAAACATGGCAATGAGTAGGTTAACAGTGTTGGGAAGGTTACATTTAAAATGTATTCCACTACAAATTACAGAATACATGCCTCAAAATGTATTTTGTAGCGTATTCTGTTATGTTACTCAATGAGAGTAACGTATTCTGAATACTTTGGATTACTTAATACATTATCATGCTTTTTTACAACTACATGAATGTACTATTGCTGTGTGATTTATTTTACTATTACTGAAGGTTACTCACCATGCCAATACCAACTAGATTTTTAAATCTTAATATGAAATGAGTAACAGTAGGTGGACATTAGGTAAGGCTGCACTTTTTGCAGCGATCTCGTGTAGAAAACTATTCCACGCGTATATAAAACAGATACGCAGCTCCAAACCGTAGTAAAGGGACCTCTGGCTGCGGTGATTATTATTATATTTACATGCTTTCAGCTCCCGTTTCTGCTCGGTGACAATTTGTACTTTTCGACTCTCCTTTTTTCTCCCTCCCCCATGCTCACACACACATAACGGGAGGAGCAGTCCCACACATTCTCCCTGCAGCTCAGACTACACTGCCCATGAGGCTACTTTCTTTAGGGCTACGCCTGTAACACTCTGCCTATTGCCTTCATATTAAATAAGTTTTTGAATAATAATTGTTTAAAATATTTCTTCACGTCACGGATGCAAGGAGGGGTGATATGGGCCGCAAGATTGAGACACAGACATTAGAGTCTCTTAATGCGTGTTTTGTTTGGGTTTCCACCGGTGTGGAATTTCCAATAATAGGGCATAGTCTAACATATGAAACAGGGAAAGACCGCCGTGTAATCCCTTTATTCCAACAAAGTAACTGTATTCTGATTATCACCTTTTTAAACAGTGACTGTAAGGGAATACAGTTACTCATATTTTGTATTTTAAATATGTAACGCTGGTACATGTATTCCGTTACCCCCCAACACTGTAGATTGATGAGCAGAATGTTGCTGACCAGGAGGTTTAGGACCAGCAAAATCACTACCAGACAGTTACTATCCTGATTTATACGCAGCTCCTTGTTCAGTGTCACAAAACAAACATTAAAGGAGAAAGATAAGAAAGCTACATTCAGTTTTTTATTGCTGTGAAGATCTGATTTGAAAATGTAACAACAACATTTTTATGCCATTTGCATAAACATTTGTACCATCCATCTCTTGCGCAGGGATCTGTCCAGTGGCGTTCCTAGCCTGTTTGGCGCCCTGGGCGAACACTCCCTCTGGCACCTCGCACAACCCAGGATTTAAATCAGGAATACATAATGGGCTTGGATTGACAACATTATAAGTGAAATGTGCTCTATTTGGAAGCAGCAGGGCCCCCTCCCCTTTTGACGGGTTGTGTGTGAGACTTTAAATCATCAAACTGTAAATCTCCTCCCTGTGCCGCAAGCAATAGGCCTCCTCGCAAACGGAGGGCGCCCTTACTCCCAGCAAATGGGCGATAGAAAGATCGGTGCCTATGTCATCCCCAGTATAGCATGAAATTGGGGCAGCATGAGTATGAGCAATTTTTTTTATTTCTTTTTTTTGCCGATGCCCGTGATGCCGCCCCCCACCACGATGCCGCCCCGGGCAACCCCCGTGTCGCCCGTATCCAGTGCCCCCCCCACCACCACCACCACCACCACGATGCCGCCCCGGGCAACCGCCCATGTCGCCCGTATCAAAAATCTGTCCAAAGATTTGCAAAAAAGTGATTCAGGTTTGGCTTGTAAGGGTGGAGCAGAGCCTGATTGACAACTCCATCCTTCGTCTGAACAAGAGGAGGAAGTTGTCATGTTGTTCACAGTATATCATTAAACATGTACCCCTGGTATAATGCCAACTGATAGTAACTTTCTCACCATATTTCCTACAATGACGATTTTGGCCCCAGCTGCTTGTGAATGGCAAACATGAGAATGAGGTAAAGGATAAAGTGTAATACAAGCAAAGAATTTCCCAGCCAAATTCATGTGACCAGCAGGACATCTGGAAACACAAGCACAGTAATGCTGAATCAATGGGGTAGCACCTCCAAATGGTGGCAAACCTGTAAATAAACCTGTGACTTAAACCAGGCATTAAGAAAATATTTATGGCACATTATATCCAAACAAGTGCATTAAAACACAAACACAGCGCATTAAAAAGTTATGGTTTTGCAATGACAAAACATAATTTAACTATATGTGGCGGGCAGACCACGCCCGCCTGTTAAAACACAGGGACTGTGGGTGGTTGTGGTGTGGTGTATGTGCGGCTGGCAGCTTGTGAGCTCAAAGCAACAACCTGTGATCCCGCCATGCTTTAGTCACACCACACTATAATATTGTGAAAATATTTGGAAAAATCCCCTATGTCTTGCTTTTTATTTCTTGTCTATACCTGCAGATTAGCCCTACACTGTAAAAAATGGCAGTGAAATTGACATAAAAACCATGTAAAATCCCTACAGAAATGTTTCAATCACAGTGAATTTTTGTAAACTATTAAACAGAATGTCTTTGTTATATTTACAACATCAATGTGTTATTATAATCAAATTTATTTGTTAAAACTACAAATAGTGGGAACAAAAACAGTGAAATACTTTAATACTCATAACAAAAAAAATTATGTTAATTTGACATGCAAATATTGTAAAAACTATAGTTTTAGTCAGTTGTTTTTAAAAAATACACGAATTATATGTAAGTCACTTTACAAGTTTATACTGTAGGCCTGTAACAGACCTACTTTTAACATGAGTCATGAAATTATGCAAATTCAGGTATAGGGCTAATAAAATGTTTTCACAGAAAATGTCATTGTGAACCTGAGAGGTTACTTCTCTATATAAAGATATACAATTATAATGACAT